TTTTTTTTTTTTTTTTTTTTTTTTTTTTTTTAATTTAAGGGGTAAATAACAATTATCATCTAGAAGGAAAAGCAATCAGGACTCTTTATATAAAGACACTCATCTGTGCCACGGTGTCCTCTTTCTCAGAGCAGTCATTTTAAATGGTGGTTGGGGTCCCAGCTAGCAAGCAAACACCGAGTCCCCTAACTGCACTCTGGTACAGCTTTGAGGGCTAGATAAGGCAGCAGTAGAGGGTTGTTTTCTTACCCTTTCCCGAGTGAGGGGGCAGATACAGGCAGATTTTTAAGGCACAGTGTGTCTGCTTCCTGTTGGACATTTTTGCTTCTCGTCCTCAATACCTCTTGCCGTCCCGCCTGCCTCCTGCCCCTGCTGCCCTGCTCAGGTGCCGAGTTCCCAGGATCGTGGCCCTACAGAAAAGCACCTTCTGGTGCCCCTTAGTCTTCACCGCTGTAGCAGTTGAGTAAAGAAACACAGTCGAGCATGTTCATAGGTCTGGAATAATGACATGCCCGTAATTTTTACAAAGAAGTCACACTCTTAGAGAGCATGCGTAATCCTCCCAGTGATTAGTAGGAGTTCAGGTAACACAGACAGAAAATTTACCAGGTTTAGTGGATGATATTTCAGGGGCTGGGAGGAAAATTTTGTAGATTTGAGGGACTTCTGGAGGTACAGTTTAGGGCTTCTAAGAGAGGACCTGGAGTTAAGAGTGTGTCTAGAATACAGTATTTTGGTAAACTTTTTTATTTCTACATCCCTTTCATTCCATAAAATAGTTGGAGTGTAATCATTTTTTTAATACCTGCTAATTATATTTCAACTAATTTGAAAGGGATCTTTACCCTAAAAACCCGCCTGTCTTTCTAGGTGGCTGTGGACTGAAGCTGGAGCCCAGTCGGAACTTGAAAACGCGTTGGGGATCGGAGGGTTTGGGTACCCTGCCATGGCAGCCATCAATGCACGCAAGATGAAATTTGCTCTTCTAAAAGGGTCTTTCAGCGAGCAAGGCATTAATGAGTTTCTCAGGTAATTTCTTGCTCTCTCGAGTTGTTGTTAGGTCGCGGCTTCATTCTGTGGTGGTGTGGGTTCGGAACTGGGTTTGCACAGACCAGGCAATAGATGGGACTGTTTGGCATCTGGCTTTCCGTAGAATGAGATGTTTGAGTTCTAAGTCGTCCTCCTGTAAGAGCTGTGCTCTCTTCCTGTGGAAGGATTCTACAGAGCGATAGCCACCTGCCGTTTTATGCCGTTGGCATTGAACTCTTCCTGATTCTCATAAAAGTCTCACATGGGCTGGGAGGAGCCCTTTCTCACCCATTCCCACCCTAGCATGCTCTGTGCCCCTGACCTCGGGTAGGATGGCTTCCGTTTCTGGCCATTAGCTCTAGAAAGTCATTCTGTGGAAATGAGCTTACTTCTGAAGTGACTTCAGCAGTGGGCAAACAGCACAAGGGGTTCCCAAAGCTACAGTTTGGAGCTCTCTGTCTGCCCTGCTCTTCACCTTATCCCAAAGTTGACTTCCAGCCAAATAGAAGGCAGGGGCGCCGCACCGTTTCGGTGAATGCATCACCTCATAACTGTGTCTTTCACAACGGTGAACCTCGTCAGCCCAGACCTTGTCTCTCTCCACTCCTGTAGAGCTGGTACTAAGCTCCGGGTAAAGACCTGATGAACATGTATCTTGTAGGCTTTATGTATTATGCACCGTATTCTTACACTGAAGTAAACCCCGGAAGAAGACGCAATTAAGAAAATCAGAGAAAATAGTTTACGTTACTGTAGTGTGAGAAATCTGTGTAAATGGACTCGCACAGTTTAGCTCGTGTTGTTCCGGGATCAGCTACTTAGAAAAATGTCATCCTTTGTCAGCAGCTGATTCCAGTGTCAAGAACCTTAGGAAATGCATGAGGGCGATAAGTAACAAGATTGAGCCCTTGGACTCACTGACTGGCAATGACCGGTTCTAACCCCAGCTTTGAGTTTATTCGTACTTCTTTACAACTAGTTTTTCTTTTCTGGTTTTTTGTTGTTTGTTGAGTACAGAGGAGGTTGTTTGTTGAGTACAGAGGAGGTGTCTAGTCTGGAACTGTCAGGATTGCGCCCATGTTCTACACCACCTGGGATAGCTTTTGTGTACTTAATTTGTATTTAAGCAAAATAAGTTTTTCTTAATTATTGGTGATAACTGGTTTTACCTGATGCCACGACCTGAGTGATGTCACGCCTGGTCGCATTGCTGTCCTTGCTTGCAAAGATAACCCCATTCAGGAGCAAGAGGTGAGAAATGCCTCTGTAGGAACCTAGTAGGCAAGTAGCCGTTTTAAAAGCATGAAGCGCTCGCTTCGGCAGCACAGGTACTGAAAGCGTTGTTCATGCATGTGCACTCGCTTTGGTCCTTCCCCCGCAGGGAGCTCTCCTTCGGGCGGGGCTCTACCGCACCTGTAGGCGGCGGGGCCTTCCCCCCCATCAGCGCCAGAGAGCCTTGGGACGGCAAGGATGGCGAGGTGAGTCCCCCGCCAGGGGGCCATGTGCCCGTGGGACTTGTCGTTGGGCTGCTTGTCCAGCCGCTTCTAACTCTCCCTGTCCCTGTCCCTGTACCTCTCTGCCATTGGTAAGCCAAGTCCTTCCACCTCGAGGAAGCCTTGGCATGGTGTCACACATGTCCTGCCCTGAGCAGCCTCTCAGGCCACATGGCACTGGATCTTCTTGATAGAGACTGAGGTTTGCTTCCTGCTTATCACCCTGAAACTGAGCATTTAGCCTGGAATTCATTTACTCTGTGTCTGAGAAACAGCTACAGCTTTGGGATGAGTGTTTACTCCAGTTCACTTCTGCACCTTCCTCCTCTGAAGGACCAGCTAAATGGCTGTTGGGGTTGAGGAGGGAATTTGTTAAATTCACGCTCCACCTCAGTTCTCGGCTTTTCCAGCTGACATAATAGGCAGTGTTCACGCAGGAGCTGGGTGAGGGAGGAGCGGGCTCTCCGATCTGGGGCATCCCTAGAAATGACCGCTCCGTGGTGAGCCTGGGTGCTCCGAGCCCCTCCCTCTGCCCCCCCCCCCCCCCCGTCCCTGCAGGGCCTCACGTTGGCTTTTGTTTTCCAGCTTCCCGTGGAAGACGACATCGACCTCAGTGACGTGGAGCTGGACGATTTGGAAAGAGATGAGCTGTGAGAGGCTTGGCACAGACTTCAGTTCGCTTTCCTTGGGAGAGTTCCCCAGCAGTGAAGGAACGTTCTTCACAATCAGATGAGTCTACCAGTGGCCTTTTTAACCAAGAAGTAGCACTTGATTGGTCATGTGAAAACACTGCACCAGTGAACTTTGCATCTCAAGAGAACAGTGAAAAATTCTATGAATTGTTGTAGGCAGTGAATTGGGTTGTATTCTGTCAAGTAATATTTTGAGGAAAACTGATGGGCTGTTGACATATTTTTCCCTCCCTCTGACTGCTGCTTGAATGTTCTTGGAGGCTGTTTCTTACATATTAAGTTTTTTTAATGTGATTCTTTCGTTTGAATATTAATGGCTTTTTTCCATTAAAAAATAAAATAATATTTTGGACAATGCCAATAAATGTATGAAATTAGTGTCCACATCATAAAATCAGAGTCCAATGTTTAGCCAGTAAATTAACATAACGAAGGGAAGACCCTGATGTCTTCCCTCCCTATAAACCTGGGACCCAGAGGACACCATCTGGAGGCCAGCCGCAACACTGATTTCTTATGTGTCCTGCGAGGCCAAGTTCCAGCTGCGAGATGTGACCTGTATAGCGAGTTTGTAGAAAGAAGGGTGAAAAGCAGTGAGCGGTCAGCTGAGAACTGCCCTTCGTGCCCAGGATTTTGTCTTCGGCCTGTCTCCAGTGACCGTTAGGAAATACGGCCGAGGACACAGCTCGGGATCTGACATGCTTCCTTCCTCCGGCCGCACGAGGTGGCCCTGAAGGCCCGACACGGCAGCCGCTGACCGACTCCGAGGCGGGCCCCGTTTCTGTAAAGTGCAGTTCCAGTAATGTTAGAAGATAAGAGACCATTCAAAGGACTGAGCATTTCTTTATTGTAACTTAAAAAAAATAAATACAACTGTAACTAACTTTTGTGAGCAATTTCTCTAAAAGGTGAATTCCATAGGGTCCTCCGGCGAAGGGAAAGAGGTGTCTGTAGGAGTCTGGAGACAGGAAAGCGCGCTGGGGCCGCGCGGGTCTAATCGAGGAGACTGAGGTCAATGCGGAAATAGACGTAGGGAAAGTAGTCCTGGGTGCTGAGCTGCAGCCCCGGGATCTCCACGGATGCCTGCAAAAGACGGCGCGTTGGCGCTCTAGATGCAGACAGCACTCTGCTGTCCCGCCTCGTCTTCCCGTTTCGAGGCGGCGCTCTAGCTCTGACACACACACACAGACACACACGGCCTCTTCCCTGTTAGCCTTGCACATTTGTGAAACATAGATCTTAGCAAAAGGGTAATTTCCATCTTTGCAAAGTGCCTCCCCCGTGGAGAGACGGACATCCGTGCAGAAAGCCAGCGCTTTCTGGATTCTCTACCTACATCCAGTATGCTCGCGGCCGCTACTTGATCCAGATGTCTGAAGACGGAGTTCAGCACCTCCCGTAAACGTTTGGTGGAGGACTTCTTGTGAGGCTGGAGGAGCACCGCCTGGAAATTCACCGGAAGTCCGTACCTTCCCAGACAGACAAGACGTGCGTTAAGTTACCTCAGAAGCAAGTGTGGGTCAAATACTCCCGACAAGAAATAGAGGAAGTTCTAGTAAAAAAAAGGCCTCGGTCAACATAGCTTAAGAAAATAAAACTCAGCTGAATGAAATATCTAGGGTCAGAGGTGAGACTACTTGGATTTTTCTGGATAGGAATGTCGCTAGTAGAACACGCTCCCCAGCCATTTCTGGCCGTTCGTGGCGTGGTGTCTGCTGACAGCGAGGTCGGCTGGACCTGCAGGAGGGACACGTGAAGGAGGCTGCTTGTAACCACCAGTGCGCTGCTTTCACTGTAAAGCCTACGACCTACGTAGTCCTGTGCCTTTGGCGGACTCTGGGCGAGCTGAATCCCGGTTTCAGAGCCCCGCCGAGGTCTTTCCAGGAGGCAAGTGCCGGGGAAGCTGGCTGGCCCAGCTGATGGCCTTGTCCCTCCTCTGCTCCCACTTCCCTCCAAAGCTCTGGCATTTGGGGCAAATGAGCAGAGGGGCCGCCGCTGTCTTACCTGAATGAGCAGTTTCCCTTCACACTCCCTACCCCAACGGCCAGTACGCTTCAGAAACCCGCTCCACGCCCTGGACTTCACCGAGACCGTCCTCTCTCCCCGCTGGCCATCACTGCCGCCCCCGCTTCATCCTCCGACCTGGTCGGACTACGTCACTGCCCCGCTGCTCTGGGAGATGGTTCATCCTCCCTCACGAGGACCCCAGTGCTAAGAGCTCTCCTGCCTTTCCCAGCCTGGGAGCTGCTGCAGGGCAAAGGCACGGGTCCGTTCTGTCCCGGGTCCTGGAGAGCAACAGGCCCTCCAGGCCCTCCAGTGCTTCGTGGATGCTGGCGGAATGCCCCTCGCTCCCCTCACCAAGCCTCCGAGCCCTTGGCCCCTTTCTCAGCCCACTCTTGACTTCAGGGCTTTTCACATTCTTGCCAGACCCTTCCAGTCCTTTCCCTGCGAACCCCATGGCGGATCAGTTTAAAGGAAGGCCTTCTGTTCTGCTCAGAATGTGCCTTCCAGGAACAGCTGGGTCTGCTCTGCTCCTGCTCAGGGCCGCCCCCCACGCTGCTCCCTCCTGGATCGCTCAGTAGACGACCCTCCTCCCTGATCACTGAGGCCACTTGGTGGGGAGCCCTCACCGGTACCCTCCCTACCGAGACCACTAAAGCCACCCCACACCCCCCCACCCGGCTGCAAGGGGCGTCAGCCCTTCTCACCTGCTGCCCCCTTCCCTGTAACATCACCACCTTGCCCTGCTTAAAATAAACTTCCTCGGCTCCCTACGGCTCTCATTCCAAACCAGAGAGTATCCAGTGTCCTGTGTCACCCAATCATCCTTCGGCCACCACTCTAGCTGGTCCCAACAATGGCGTCACGCCCCATTTGCAGGGACACGTAAATCCTTATGCTTCCTCTCCCTCCTCCTGCCTCTGACTTCCTCATGGGCTTTTCTGCCTCCACCCCTTAAATGGTGGGGTTCCCCCAACATGCCCTTTCATGTTCCCTCTATACGACTCTCCCTAAATGAATGCAGCCGCACAGCCACCATTAGGGTTCCCTAACATTCCCCACCGGCACCCCTCCCAGGAGGCAGACTGACCAGCGAGCTCCCTGGCGGGCTCCTCCCGCCCGCTGGGCCCATCTCAGCTCTCAGCCCGGATGACTGCGGGCCCCGGTCCCCTCCACCCTGAGGGGGAACTAGCACTTCCTCAGCGAGGGCTGGGTCCACTTCACTTTGGTTTTACTGAGTCCACGAACAGTCAGCATCTAGTCCTTGTCCAGCTCTGGGCCGAGTGACAAAGGTGGAGGGCGAGGAGGAAGACAGCACCGCGTGCCAAGTGGGGAGTCGAAGGAACAGGCCAGCAGGTGAGCCCCACCGTCTTTGCTCTAACAAACTTGGTTCCAACATCTGTTTTCTTGGACTATGATCTCTCCACAGAGTAGAATATGGAAAAGCCATTTCAAAGGATCAGGTAGCGCCACACACACGGGTAAGAACCGGAAGCAGGTGGAAAAAGCTGCGGCACAGCGAGGGCGAATGATCCCCTCTGGGGGCTGAGAAGAGTCTTGAAACCACGAACCGTGATTATCTCTGGGCAGGGGGCCTGGGAGGAACTTTCTCCACAGTATATATTTCTAAACTTGAATTTTTTTTTTAACAGCGTTCATGTATTACAACTGTATTCAGGAAAAATACAGATCCAGTAAGAAAAAGTTCTACGCTGATAGTCTCGTAAAGGATCATTCCTACAGCTAAGTGTTAACTGTTAAGTGTCTGCCTTTGATTCAGGTCATGATCTCAGGACCCTGGGACTGAGCCCCGTGTTGGGCTCCCCGCTCAGGAGCCTGCTTCTCCCTCGGCCTCTGACTGCCACTCCCCCCTGCTTATGCTGTCCGTCAAATAAATAAAATCTTTTTGTTTTGTTTTGTTTTTTTTTGTTTTTTACAAACCCTTGTGTCGAGGGCTGACTTTCAATAGATCGCAGCGAGGGAGCTGCTCTGCTACGTACGAAACCCCGACCCAGAAGCAGGTCGTCTACGAATGGTTTAGCACCAGGTTCCCCACGAACGTGCGTTGCGTGACGGGCGAGGGGGCGGCCCCCTTTCCAGCTGCACCCCATTTCCCAGGACGAGGGGCTCTCCGCACCGGACCCCGGTCCCGACGCGTGGTGGGGCACGCCACGCGGGGCGCCCGCAGCGGCCCGCCGGCGGGGACAGCGTAAATAAAATCTTTTTTTAAAAAGAATTACTTCTACATATACTTTTAGGGGAAACCGTTTGATCCAGCTTAAGATACTGAAGACCTCTACCTCTGCTTCTCGAGCAAACGGGCATCCGCACTATGGGGCCTGAGAACCACTGACTTTGGAGGCAGGTCAGTGTGGGGCCACAGACGGCTGGAACACTGCGGGTTAGCCTGGGTACACCCTGCGACCCAGTGCCACAATCCAGGCCATTCCAGGCCTCGGAGACGGGCGGGCAAGGAGCTGATCTGTGTTTGGACAAAACCACACCTGGCAGCCACCATACTGTGTTTGGGCAAACGCGTGCCGCAGCCGTGTGGAGCATGAACCAGCGGCAGAGAACCAAGTGCGAGCCCGTGGCAACAGCTGGGCGGGGGAGGCCAGAGACGCAGGGAAGAGAGAAAGCAGAGGCAGGATGGGTGACCCCTCAGGGGCGTTGGGGGGCCCTGGGAGTGGGGGAAGGGAGCGAGGATGCAGGAGCAGAGGCAGCTGAGCCCTCAGGTTTGGGGCCTGGGGACAGGGAGGACGTGAGGCCACTGGCATTGACGAGGCAGCCAGAGGAAGGTGTTGGGAGGGAAGAGGAGCCAGATGTGCAGAGAAGCTGGTGTCCAGTGAGCGGCAGGACCGGGAGACGCAAGAAGCACAGTCAGGGAAAGGAGAAGCAGGGAACAGGCCTCCGGGTGGGTGGCTGCTGGGCAGGCAGGGGAAGGGGCTGGGGACAGCACTCCAGAGGCTCGGAGGGCCAGGGGAGGCCAAGCAACAGGGGTGGGAGCTTCTGGAAAAAGGGTGTCCAGCCAGCCGTGTGCGGTGCCACCAAGATCTGCCCCCCGAGCTGATGACACGGGGCATCTTCAAAACACAGGAGAAAAGCAGGCTTCGGAAAACATTTCCTGGATGTGAGGGCAATCCGGCTGCGACATCTGTCACCCCACGGATCACCAGGGTTGATTTGGCTGATGTGGCTGGCTAGGCAGGTGTCCCCGTCCCCCCTCACGGCTCCACGTGTGTCCCTCCCAAAGCCGCACCCTCAGTCCAAAGGGACAACCGTCTCGGTAGGGGAAGACCGCTCTTCGGTCAAGGGTATATGAGCAGCTGCGCTCCCCTTCTAGAACCTTCAAACCAGCTCTCAAAAAATATTTCCTATATAATTCCATTTTTGTAAAAATTAAGTAAAAAAAATGGACCTATCTGTAAATTCGGGAAAAAAGAGCAAAACAAGGGCAAAAACTCCTAAAGCGGTTCACGCCCGCACCTGAGCCAGCAGCGGTCTCTCTCGGTGTCAGAGGTAGAGGTCACTCTCACTCACTGCGCTGCTCTATGGTTGCCTCATTCTCCACAGCGAACCCACTTCACTTTTGTTAAAAACAAGACAAAATTTTTGTCGTCCTTCATTCCCTCTGCTTTAGGTTTTAGTTTTTGGGTTGCCTTGGGCCTCAGAGTCAAGGACGGAGGCGGTGTGGCGTGTCTTCCAGGAGTGGCCAGGCCCCGGCAGGTGCGCAGACCGGCACAGAACCTGCTGGAGAGGGGGCACGACCCCCGCCCCGGGGCCGGCAGGAAACGGACACGGAGCATAGGACTGCGGGGACTCAGGAAATCCTACGCATGTCGCCAAGAGCCAGGAGCAGCACGGGGAGAGGGCGGGAGGTGGTGGTGGTGCTGGATGGGACAGGTGGCAGCCCCAGCGGCCCCCCGAGCTGGCTGCCCCCCCGCCCCCGGCAGGACAGCCCGGGCTGGGCGCCCCCTCCACGCACCTGAGCACGGACTCCACAAACACCCTCAGCGCCTTGATGTGGATCCAGGCAATGAAGGCTTCGCTGAAGTTCACTTTGAGCCAGCGCAGCAGCGGGCCCTGCGGAGACAGGACAGCCGGTGACGCCCGCGGGCAGCGGCGCCAGACGCCAGGCCAAGGGCAACACGGGTCCCAGCAGAGCGAAGCCTCGCGCGGAGAGACGCCCGGCGGCCAGCAGAAGCAGCGAGTCGGCCGACCCTGGCCCACGTTCCCGGGGCACCGGGTGCCCGGCAAGCTCAGCGGGCTGCCACCTGGCACATGCGTGGGGCCACCAGAGACCGGGCTGCGGGGGGCCGGGCAGCAGCGGACGGGCTTCCCCCGACACCGGGCCACCAGGGAGCCCACCTCTGAGGAACGCATCACATCCCCTGCCACAACCCCGTCCTGGCATCAGCCACCAGCTGCCGCTTCTGGGAGCTCCACAGAGCCCACCTCCGAGGCCACAACCCCGGTCACCGAGGCTGGCGTGGCCGGTCCTTTAGGGGAACCCGAGCGCCTGGAGCCAAGGCTCCGAGCCCCCACTGATGCCTCCGCGGCCCACAAAGGTCAAGGGTGGGTCCAGCCATCGCAGCCAGGGGAGGAGAGCCGAGCTGCCTGACCCCCACCAGCCAGCAGGGCCTGACCCCGTCACCAGCGGCCGCCACCTCCAGGCAGGGCAGAGGACCCCTGGCCACCACGCCAGGGGGCGGGGGGCAGCTCCAAAGACGCCCTCCACACGAGGAGGCAGGCAGCGTTCTGGGCTCCTCGATGGAAGCCCTCCCAAGCCACACTGGGGAACAGAAAACGCACGGCGCCCTTTCCTCCGAAGATGCCTGCCAGCGGGGACATGCGAGCGGGGGAGCCCCAGGGCTGCGGGGTGCTGCTTACCTCGCCCTCGCCCTCACTCTCTCTCTCTCTGTCCGTCTGCCCCGCTGTGGGCCTATCGGGGTTACCTAGCGGGGTTACCTTAACCTTGTGGTCCGGGAAGGCGGAGGATCCCTTTTTAAGAGCAACACAGGAAGTTTGCTAAAGGCACAGAAATCATTTATTAATCTTTCAGCAAACACACATCACAACAAACACACAAAATCCGCATCGCTGGGAAAGCACGTGGGAACGCCGGCCCGCCCTCTGGCCTTGCGGGCCAGGTGGACTAGAGATGGGACGGGGCGGCGGGGGAGGGAGGCTCAAATCTTCGGGGCCCCTACCTCAGGGACAGAGCCAATGCCAGCAGCCGGGCAAGCTCCCAGACCCCTGCCTGGCCTCGGTCGGGACCACCCCTCCACAGGCATCCAGGACGGGACCACAGAGCGCCCCTCTGCCCTGTCCAGCCACGGTGGCTCCATGGCACTCATGGAGGCTACATGCAGAAAATGAGCCAGGCACGCTGTTGGGACCTACCATCCTTTATCCTCTTTTCTCTGCAGACAAGGAGAAAGCCCTGGAAAATCCCACCATGTGCTCTCCAAGGGAGCCAAAACCCCAGGACCTAGCCTGTCCCCTCTGGCTGACAAGTACCAAAGACGGCGCGGGTCACCCCCAACAAGCTAAAGGGGAAAGAGCTGCCTCGGAAGCCAGGGCAGGGCTGCCCCCGGCTGCCCCCTGCTCAGTGGCCCACAGCCGGAGCCTCGAAAGGAGCTAAATGTTTCCGAGTTCACGTGTCTCCTCTGGAGCTCCAGTTCCCCTCCACCGAGACCCTGGCAGGGCTCCTGGGGCAGCCTGGGTGTGCAAAGGCCTCCACTTGCCGCCTTACACCTGCGAGGAAGCGCCAGCTGGCAACCTGAGCCCCAGACGGCAGGCGACGAGTTCCAGTGTGTCACCTTGCTCCTCAGGGGGTCTGTGCCAGCGCCGAGGCTGGTGCCAAAGGCACGATGTGACCACCTGTCCTGTGGGCAGGGCCTCCCGCCTGACGTTGGTCAAATCTGCCACTGTCTCACCCCCCCCAGAGACACCGGGTAGGGGGGCCAGGGCTGGGACCCAAGCCAGCAGGGACAAGGCTAGAGAGAGAACACCGGGCGTTCCTGGGCGATCAGGGTTTGGGGCGAGCTAAGGCCAAGGACCAAAAGGGAAGGTGAACACTTACCCTGCCTGGGTGTGGGGGGTCTGAGGCCTCGGGGCCCAGCACCTCCTCACAGGAACAGCCCTAACTCACAGCCCGGCAGATCTGGGGTCCGAAAAGTGTGCGTTCACTTGGTGTGCACACGCACGTCCACTCACATATGCGTCTGCTTGGGGGCAGGTTAAAGCCTGCCACAGGCACCACTATAGGATGAGCTCCTGTCTCGTCCTCAAAGGGGATGGGCCCGTCCAGTGAGGCTTCGAGAAGCCCAGTTTGTGGACCCCCATGCTGCTGCTTACTTCCGAGGGGGTGGTTTGTCTGGAGTCCCTGTGAAAAGGCCACTGACCAGAGAGGTCAAGCCAGACATGCCGATTCCACCCGCCTGAAGTCAGAGAAGGCCCGGGGGCCAACACGGGGCGCGCGGGAGGGACTTCCTGCTCTTCGCCTAAGCCCGTACTGGCAGCTTCATGTTTACACAACAGCTTTCTTCCAGAACCTGAAGTACACTCTACTCCTTCTTCCCTCGTCCCTACACTGGAGGCCAAATTGGAAGTTTCTGAGAACAGCACCCAGTGGGGATCGGGCGGGGGGAGAGGGGCCCTAAAGACATTCCGCCAGGGGGAACCCCCGAAGCCACCCAGCTTAGGTCTCTCTACAGCAGGAGGATGCCCCGTGTGGAATGAGCCCCTCACACAGAGCAGCTGAGTGACTTTCCCAAGGCGACACGGTCACATTCCCAAACTCCAAGCCTGGTTTGCTCCCCCATGAGCTCAGCAGCGCTTGCACGAGGAAGGTTTCTGCCAGGCTGTCGTCAGAAACCTCAAGGAGAAGCCCCCACTCTTTGCTGAAAGCATCGGGGGAATAAATCCAGGGGCTGACGACAGGGGCTGTCCCATCACGCATGAGAACCACACTGAGGAGGCCAGCAAGGAGACTAAGGGGACAGGCCTGCCTGCGCTTGGCACAGGGACCCCTGCCTGGATCCCCGCCTGCCTTGCCTGGATCTCGGGGCACAGGAAGGTGGGGGGGGTTCTCCTCTTGGGGGAAACGCTCCATGACCTCCCAGAGCCTCAGTTTCTCAGGGGCACATTGGAGCTCGGAGTCCCTTCCTGGAGGGGCAGGGTCAGGACTCGGGAGCTCTCCCAGGGACGGCGCCCAGAGCCCTAGCTCACAGCTCAGGTGTCCCCTGGGTGCCCCGCCCTGACAGCCTCAGGTGACACACATCCCGGGCCGCGTGCCCCCAAGGGAGGGGGACGCTCTAGAAAGACGCCCACCTGCCCATGTAGTCTACTCACATACTGTTGCTTCTTATCAGACAGCAACCTGCTCATCTCTTCCCTTTCCCTTTTAATTTCTTTCTCATCATAGTAAAATTCACGGACAGTGAACCTTAAAACAAGCAAATGAAAGGCTTTCACCAGGAAGCTTCCGGACGGAGCAGAGAGACCCCTCCAGTGGAGACAGCCCAAACCCAGAGAAGCCCACTGAGGCCAGCCCTTACTTGTTCTCTTTGGCTTTGGTTTTGAAATCCTCGATCACTTTTCGAAACAGGGTCACCGTGAAGAGGCCACCCTCGTTGTCCTCAGCAATCAGTCTGGTGGAGAGAAGCATCTGGTCACTGGACGCCTCACCACAGCTGAGGTCAGAGCTGGGCCAGGAGCGGCCTGTTCCCTCTCCCAGGGGAGGTGGGTTCCCGCCAAGGGGCGGCTGGCTTGTGGGCAGGCAGGGCCCCCCCACCCCACCCCCACCAGCTGAGGTTAGGGAACCAGACGCCCCTTAGGACTTCCTGACTCCTGCTCCTTCCACCCCCACACCGGGCTGAAGCCTCTGGGGCCTCTGGATGATCTAAACGCAGACCCTGGAGGGGAGGGAGGGGCAGGGGACTAGCTGCAGAGACCCCCGGTTTGGCTCCAGTGTGTGACGTGCTGAGCGATGGAGCTCTTCCTGGGTCTCAGTCACCTGTGTGTGCGTGTTGGGGGGGACCTGCCCAGGCTCTGACGCGCTACGCTCGGAACGAAGCAGGACAGACAGACTCTAGTCAGTGGAAACTGTCCCACCGTGTCCACCTCACGTTCAGTGTCCCCATGTTCCAATCAGCCAGCCTCCGAGGCACGCAACACAGGGCCACAGTGGGCACCGTCCCAAACACAGGGGTCACAGCAGCCAGCGGTCAGCTCCTTTGAGCCAGCCTTGTCGGCCACAAGACCTGAGGGAAGCCCTTCGCCAAGCCCGGGCAGGTCTCACAGGCATGCTGGCCAGGTCACCTTTCCTGTCTCTGGGCCACCCCAGGCTCCAGAAACTTTTCCAGAATCACCTCTGCAGACCCTCCGGTGGCTCGTTACAATGCAGGGCCGGGGGTTCCAGTCTGAGCAGCCAAATCACCTACTGAGGTAGCCGGAGGGGTCCCCCAGCTCGTGGCCACAGAAAGCCAGAGTCACAGAGCACTGGTGGCCTCTGCCGAGCTGGCGGGTCTCAAGGACAAGCCCCTCCATCCGGCTGTCTGCCCTCCTCCTCTCCCTGCGGACGCCCCTGGCTTCCTCCTCTGGCCTCCCCTCATGACCTCAGGCTATGGCTGTCCTGTTCCCTGCACCCCTCAGTGTAGCTCCTGATCGCCGTCTCCTGTGAGCTGTAACCCCGGGAGAACCACCCCAACCGGAGGGGGCCTCAGAGTGGAGGGGCACGGGCAGAGCTGCCCTCACCCTACGCTGTGCACCCAGAAGCAGGTGAACTGGCGCCGCCGGCCGAGACTCACTGCCAAATCTTTTTAAATTATAAACTACTTCAGACATACAAAAAGGTATAGAGACGGGCCCTGGGTGGCTGTTGGTTAAGCGTCTGCCTTGGGCTCAGGTCATGATCTCTGGGTCCTGGGATGGAGCCCCACTTCCAGCACCCGGCTCAGCGGGAGTCTGCTTCTCCCTCTCTGCCTCTCCCCCTGCTCATGCACGCGCTCTCTCTGTCTCTCTGTCTCAAATGAATAAATAAAATCTTTTTTTAAAAGAAAGGCATAAAGAATAACAAATACTACATATAGGCGGGCCTGACTTAAGACTTAACACAACGCTCACGCGGCAGAAGCCCCAGGCCCCACCCTAGCTGCATGTCACTCCCTGATCCGAGGTCACCACTGCACTGAGTCTGGCGTTTCCAATCCCCCGAAACACCCCCTCAATTCTCCTGTGCACCTGCACGTGCCCAGATCACGTATGGTTTAGTTCCGTCTGTTTCCAGGCCTTGAGTAACTGGCTTCAGGCTGGGTGTGCTTCTCAGCCACTGGCCTGTCCTGCTCCACCCAGGACGGTGACACCCACACCTGCTGCTGCGGGCAGCCCCCTGCTGGGCTGGTTTCCCCACGTGTGTGGTCGTCATGGTTTGAATATATTCCTGTATCTCTTCTCCTGCCACTTTCCCAGCTCTCACTGGCCACTCCTGCTCTGACTCCAGCAGGCCAGATGCTGGTCCAACTGTCCCCACCCCACCCCACCCCCGTGGCCATCACAGAGCAGAGCGCAGTGAGGGGGATCTTTACCAGCATACAGCCAGAGGGGGCCTCCTGGAAGAGGGGGCAGGGAAGCGGCATTCTGAAGGATACAGGGAGTTTGGCACGTGGCTGGGGGTACGGCTGCAAAGAACTCCAGGCTAAGGGACTCTGATAAGCTCAAGCGGGGACGGCTGAGGGTCCCTGTACCCCCAGAGCATACTTGGTGCCTAGGTGCCAAGGTGGGGTTTCACTCACTTAGTTGACCGAGGGACCACCATGTCCGAGAGGGATTCATAGGTTTTTTGCCATTGTGCGTAGCTTGGTCTGCAAGAATACGGATCATTCAGTGATTTCTGCAGAAAGGCTAGGGGTGTTCGAGGGTTTAAGACACTGTACACCCCTTTTCCCAAGGGACTGAGATCAGCAGGCCTGGGCCAGAGAGCCCCGAGCACCCCCAACGTCCTGCCATGGGCACTGGGGACCCCCTCCCCAGCCTGGTCCTGGACCCAGCCTCCCAAGGGCGCCAGACGCCACAGACGGCCCAGGTGAAGGGTTCAGCTAGATATGTGTGGAAGCTTTCCAGTCCTGACCCTGTGTGGCCTCGGAGAAGCCAAATGACCTCTCTGGCTTCTGGACAAGGGGGTCACAGGTGCCCCCGCCCCCTCCCCGGTTTATTGTGAGCAAAATGGGCTCCTGTCTAAGGCTTGTGGCACACGGAAGCTGCTCACTGCTTTACCTGTGGACACTCACCCTGCTCCCATTCCTGCCGCTGGGGCCCTGGCCATGGAGGGCCCCTCTTTCTCTCCATTGGGCAGGGCCGGTTTCCTTCCAGGATCACCAACATGGGCTGAGGCCCCCAGTACCCCCCTTCCAGGCCACTTACTTGGGGACAATGACCAGAAGTGTGACGAGATACTCAGAACCCAACACGAAGTCTTCTTTGCTCACGATATCGCTTAGTGTCCGGGTGAAGAGGTTTCCCCTGAATTCGGGTGGGACAAAGGGGGCACGATTAGCAGAAAGACAGAGGGAGGTCACGTGGGCCCGGGCTTCTGGGACGCATGGACCCCCGCACACCCTCAGCACACAGGCCCTGGGTCAGGAGGGCAGGCAGGAAACATGAAAGCTCAGAGGTCCCTGGGCTGAGTGTGCCCCCTGGTCCCCCAGCTGAGGGTGGCCAGAGCTGCTGGGGCTGGCAGGGCCAGAGGCCCCCTCACCAGTCCCCCGAGGGGCGGCAGAACCCAACACCACCATCACCCGCACTGCCCCTGGGGCTGCTGGGAGGGGACTGTGGGTGGCAGGCAGCTTGAGTTACACCAGTGTCAACACTTGGGCTATACTGAGCTGAGACGGGCCCAGAGAGAGATCCGTGTCACTTTTCACACCTCCCAGGTCCAGCTGCCAGGGGACATCACCTGCCATTGCTTTCTTCATGCCCAGCAGAACCCGGTCTCCATCGAGATCATGGTATTTTTAGCACATGGTTCAAGGGTACTGGAGCAGCAAGTAGGCCAAGGACGGCTATGGAGACTGTAGCCTGGGCACCCTGACCGTGTCGGCTAATATATTAGGACCCAACACTTCCCTGGCCAATGGGTTTCAAGCACTCCGCCAAGGCCAAGGTCTTAGGTAACATGCCACCTCCAGCCTCACCTCTCCCACCCGAGCCTTCACTGCTAAGTCCCTTAGGACCCTCTCCAAAGGCACAGGGCACGTGCCCCCTACCACACCCCCATTCTGCTATCAGCTCTGCTCTGTCTCACTGATGCCTGCACTCCGAGCACAGAGCTGATTTTCCGCAGACACTTGTTGGGCGAGTCACTGTGAGCTCCCTGAGGGCAGAAATCCCATTTTCTTCTGCTTTGTTATCTTTAGGGGCTGGCATAAAGCCTGAGAGGATAGCAGGTGCTTACTACACATTTGTCGGAAGAAGAATGGGCGAAGGCGGCAGAACAGCTTCACCCCCTCCCCCTCCAAGTGCTCTCAACAGATCAGTGCGGTGGTGAATCAGCTGAATGACAAGGCTGGGCCAGATGTCTGCTCAAGTCCCAAACGATTCTCAAGGAGTCCACAAATCCATGATGCGACGAGTAGATGGCCCAGCAGGCAAATGGTCAATGCCGTGATGGCTCTAAGCCAAGGTCACCATTTAGGGTGCTCTCTGCCATCGGCGCACTCCCCTTCTCCCATCTCATGCCTTCGCAGGGCCAAGAATGAGGCGAAACTCAGGGGATGCCCATTTAATTCTGATGCAAAGTCACGCAACCAATGGTGACCATTTCTAGTTGAAGTGCACCTCTCCCTTTTTGCTTTTAAATTCTCCGCTAATGTACCATACGCTTCTTTCACAAGAAGACGCCTGGCCCAGGGACCATCCAGAGGGAGAGGCGGGAATGGGATGGTGAGCTGCTCAGAGGAGCGGCTGGTTCTGACCTCCCATGGGCACTGCCCTTCTTTGGAGGCTCTTCAGACAACTGCCAACAGAATCAGATCCAGAATCTGGGGAGCCTAGGAGGGTCCTGCCTGCCGGCTTAGCCCGACTCAGGAGCATCTTCCAGACTCCACAGCAGGAGCTCATCTGGCCTTTCCTGACATGCCTCCCAGGACAAGGCACTTACTCCCTTACGAGAGAGTTGCAGCCGGCATGACACTGGGTTTCTGCTTTTCTCCAGAAACCTACCACCATCTGGGTGATTGGTGACTGGTGTCCACTGGCCACACAGTCTGCTCCCTCTCTCTTGTGAGGGGTCCGTCATTTGAGTGCAGGAGGCTCCAGAGTCCCTGCAGATGCTCTGCTCTGGGCTGCAGCCCCCACTACCCTGGGGGCCCTCCCAAAGGGCCAGGCTCGGCTAGTCAGGTCCCCCCACCGCCTTTGCAGAGAGGGTCCTCTGCTAAGTTTCCTCCAGGGGAAAGGTCTTAGGGCCCCTCAGGTGTTCTCAGTAACCTGGGGAGGTTGGGAGAGGGAGGGAAGCGGGTGAGGGGCAGCATGGTGTTCCTCTCTGGGCTCAGGCAGGGGGGTGCCATCACCCTGGCTCGGGCCTTTTCACCACGTGCACCAAGGCCCCCCTCCCAGTCCACAACTCCCAGAGAGGCAGGAGGGCTGCGGCGTCTGCCCATCTGCCTCGCTGGTGCGCTCACGCTCTCTCTCTCTCTCTCTCTCTGACCCAGCATAGACCCTGGTTTACCCAGAGACCTGAAAGGCACACTCCTGCCTCCGTCCGGCCCCCACCCCAGCCCCTCGGTGCAGAAGCTCAGACTCACATGGATTTCTTCTCCAGGTTCTCCAGGTTTGTCTTCAGAGTGTTGTAGGAGGCTATTCGGGATTTCAGGTCAGTCTCGATTTGGGCCAGTTGCTATTCGGAAAAGCAAAAGACAGGGCCCAACTTCTCAAAATGGCCATAAAGTGAGCACAGCACACTTCGGAGTAAGCAGTAAGTAGTCAGGGCCTCCCGCTTGTCCGGAACGCTCACGTTTCCCCCACACCGCTCCTGCACACATGCCGGCATTTGGCCCTGCGTAGCCCGTGGGGAGCAGGGGACAGATTCACGTCCCCACTCTGCAAGACCGCACACGGGCACGGCTGTTCCAGAACCCCTCAGTGAGGTGACTCTGCTGATCGCAAGCCCTCCTCACACTGCCAGGCCAGCCCAGGCTGACCCCCTCCTGGCTTCTGGGGGGCCCACGATGGCTCAGCCCTGCCGATGCTGGGTCCCGGGCTCCACTGGGCCCCGCGGCCCCCTCCCAAGGGAAGGGGTGGGTAGGCAGGAAGGCTCCTTTCCGCCTGCATGCAGGTCACGGGTCTGGAATGCAGGAGATCCCGTTGTCGAATTTCGGGGAGGGTGTCCCAGACCCCCACCCGCAGCAGGCCCGGGCGGACATGTTGTGGGAAGAGGGGATACAGGACGAGCCCAAGGCCCACGGCCTAGCTCTCCTGCCTTCTGGTTGCCTGACCTCAGAGGCCCCACCTGCTCGGCCAGAGGGATGATGTCCTCCCAATGGCTGGAAACAGAAAAGGCAAATGCCCACAAGGAAGCCTTCAAAACACAGCCCCTGGCCCCCAGGCTCATGCTTGGACAGCAGAGTCCCATCATCACAGAACTGCTTCAACAAAGGTGGGCGCCCCCCGTTACGGAACACAGCGCGGCCTTCCAGATGGTCGCGGGAGATTCCTGCACGCGAAGGCCGACCCCCCAGCTCTTGAGGGACCGCACCCCTCCTCCCAACTCAGAGCCCCACGTCCTGAGCCAGCTCCCTGGCGGCGCGCAGTCGCACCCCGTGGGACCCCCACTCCATGCCAATAAACGCTGCTGACACGGACACCCCCGGTGTTGGCACGCGACAGCACGGAGGCCGCCTGAGGGACCGAACGACCCCGAGCTGAAATTTACAGATTTCGTTCGTATAGACACGGAAGGATCCACTTCCAAAGGTTAACACGTCGCTCACCTTTTGGGGGAGGAGGAGAGGGAGTGGTCTAGTCATGGGAAGCTTTTCCCGTTTTTATCATTGTACCTTGATACTTCTGATTTTTAAAATAAGATATGTAATTTTTTTTTTTTTACCATTTAAAAAAATCTCTTCCTTTAAAATGACAGATTTCATGGGAAATGACAAAAAGATGACACGGGGGACACCCTGCTGGCTGTTGGTTCGGTGTACGGTTCTTGACCCCGGGTTCGTGGGTGCAAGTCCCATGTCTGGTGTAGATTACTTTAAAAAATGAGTAAATAGAGACGCCTGGGGGGTTCAGTCACTTGAGCGTCTGCCTTCGGCTCGGGTCATGATCTCAGGGTCCTGGGATCGACCCCTGCATCGGGCTCCCTGCTCAGTGGGGAGCCTGCTTCTCTCTCTGCCTGCTGCTCCCCCTGCTTGTGTGCTCTTTTTCTCACAAATAAAATTTTTAAAAATGAGTAAATAAAATACTTTTAAAAATCAGAGAGAGATGCCATGTACCCATGTTACATAACAACAGTGTGCAATCATAAGCAAGAAACTAACTCAGGTACAATCCACAGTCTTAACTTTTAAAATCATATATATTTTTTTTTAAAAAAAAATCAAACAAAAAAGTCCCCGTTCAGCAAGGTGAGGTCCACCTGCCCCAGCCAGAGCTCCTCCAGGGAGTGGGTGCCCCACCCAGTGTCTGTGACCCCCGTGTCTGTGACCCCTGGGAGGGAAGCTGGCACAGGCTGTGCTGAGGGCGTGCATTCAGCTGGGCTCCGAGGTGGGGGGCCAGCTGGCAGAAGCCCCAAGAGCTTCGTGGACCCTCCCGCAGAACCCAGAGATGCTTCCGGTGGTGGAGACATCAGCCGCCAGCGCCCCGAGGGGGTCGGCATGGGTCCCCCACCCTCAGCAGCACATGTGCGTGCTCAGGAGTAAACCTTGTGCCGTGTCACACGGGTGAGGTCTGGGGGCTCTTCTGAACCTGCAGCATAACCCAGCCAGTGGAGACTGACTGACACCATGGTGGGCTGGCACCAGGTGACCGCATGTGCTGTCACATGCAGGGCGGGGAGGGGGCAAAGCCCTCCCCACCCTTGAGCCTCCTCTTTAAGGGACACATTGAGCTCAGTTCCCAGCAGTCGGGAGGGTCTGGGGGCCCGGCCCTGACCACCTCAGCACAGGGCTCCTCCAGGCTGGGAGACCTCCCCGGACACCCGCAAGTGCAACTCGACACCCGGTGACACTGCGACCTTTGTGTCCCCAAGGCTCTCCCCAAGAAGGACCTCCCGTTGGAGGAACAGACCTGAACCAGGGCTGAGGACATCATACACGGGGTCCTGGTGCAGGTCAGCCTCCGGGGCCAATACTCAGAGCCTCAAAGAGCTCGTTCCCTGCAGTGGAGCTGGCCCGGGGCCTCCTTGGGAAGCCTTGTCTCTCTCTATGTGCCCCACCCCCCAATCACACACACACACACACACACACACAGCACAACCAAGACCTGCATTCCCATCCCAGGTCCCGGAGCAAGCCACTGAACCTCTCTGCCAGCCTCCTCATCTGAGATCAGTGGAAGGGGTTCCATCTCACGGGGGTGACACGGGAAGGGGACCCTACCTCGTGGGGGTGACACGGGAAACAAGAGCCCAGTGTGGTTCTGGGCACATAGGGAATGCTGTCAACACCGGTGCCCTCCTCCCCATCCCTGCCTTCCTGCCAAAGTCACTCTCTGGGTCCCTGAACTAGAGAGAAGCCAACTTCTGTCCTCTACAACTGTTCTGCTTCCCTCCCAGTTGACATCCTGTCGTGTCCCAGGGTCCTCACTGCTAGCTGGCACCCCCGGGACAGCCACGCCAGTGAGCACCGTCCTGAGAGGACGCAGATCACAGCCTGACCGCCTGCCTGGCTCGGCCTGGCCTCAGAGAGCCCCGCGGGGTGCAGCCGGCCCCAGCAGTGATGGCGAGCCCCCGGGTGGGTGGCAGAGGCACACAGGACCTCCGGGAAGACACACTTGGCTCAGGTGCGCTGGGCAGCCCCTCCTCAGAGGGCTTTCCGGAATCACTGCCCAATTGTCCCAGGAGGGGCCGGGACCTCTGTGGCGTAAGCAGTGCCGGAGGAGCCGCACCCAGATTCCGGAGCCTTCTGGCCCCACCCGAGTTTCCACAGACACGGGCCGGGCACTAGCCCGCCATGGCAAGCACACAGGGCTGCACTCGGATGGGTCCCAGGGGCCCATCTCCTGCCCCTGACCCGCCCAGACACACCTGGGTGGCTCTGTGGTCTGAGGAGACAACAGGAAGGCTTTGTTCCTGGCCTGGCTGAGACTCTCCCCGCCACCTGGGCCAGGAGGAGACACGGCCTGTGAGGGGCTCAGTAGATAGTGGAGGGAGGGGGGCAGTCCTAGGCCATGAGCGCTCACCCTCAGTGAGACAAACAGGAGTCAACAAGGCCACAAGCCCCCACAATGTCCCCAGAGACTTGGGCCACAGTGCTGTTACTTATGAAGTAAAAGCTGGAGGCCGTTGCTTACCGAGATGGTAGAATTGTGGCGTGTGGTGCTTACTGGCCTTGCTTTTTTTTTTTTTTTTTTACAATTTATTCATTTACTTTTAGAGGGGGATACAGAGAGAGAGTCCCAGGCAGACTCCCCACTGAGCGCAGAGCCTGATGCGGGGCTCGATCCCAGGACCCTGAGATCACACACGACCTGAGTCAAAACCAAGCCGGAGGCTTAACCGACCGTGCCACCCAGGTGCCCCTTCCTGGCCTCACTATCGTTACAGTCGCCTTAAAGCAGGCGCAGGACCCGCTGTGATGCCTTCCGTAACTGCCTCCCAGGAGTCAGGGCTCCTAAGTCGGACTCTCCATGGAAGCAGATCGTTCTTGTCAAGCAAACAATCACTGCGGGATGTGGTGGGGGCATGTGGCTCTCATGAGGAGGTCAGGATGGGGCTGAGCTGCTCCATCAGCACCTTCCAGAAAGTAACGAGCTGGAGGGAACCCACAGAAGGGGCACCAGGGGTGCGTCCGGTGGAGGCCGCTGCCTGGCGGGGGACATGGCCGGAAAAGGTGGAGGGAGGGCAGGTGCCCGCCTTGAAACCCCAAAGTCCCTGGCCTTGCCCAGGGCATGGAAGGCCACGCCTGAGAAAGGCACCAGGCCTGGTCAGGGCTGGCAGGAAGCAGAGGGGAAGCAGACACCGCCCAGGGTCACTCGGCAGAGCTGGGACCCCACCCAGCCTCCCGACTCTGGCCTTCCAGAAAGTCCCTCTTGGCACCCCCGCCTGGGCCCCTAACACCCTGGTGGTCAGCAGTGCCCGGGCGCCAAGGTTAACTGTCCCCCGAGAGAAGGCCGTCCTCTCACCTTTGCCAGAGTGTCCACCACGCTCACCAGCGGCTGCTTCGCGGGGTACTTCGCCATGTCCCACTCAAAGTGGGTCACAAAGGATGTTAAGTCAACTGGAAGGAACACATTTCAGCAAGTGAGTGGGATTCTCCCTGCCTCATGAGACCAAGGCTGCCAAACCCTGAGCCAAGCAGCCCCGCTGAACCCAAGGAAGCGATCAGAGAAACGGGGGGACAGAGTCGGGGCTCCGGGAAAGCACACGCTGCACCCCCACCCCCGGTGGAGTACTGGGCCAGCCACAGGCCTTCCGTCAGGACCGCCAGCAGCACCCAAAGCCCCTCAGAAGAACACACCAGTGGCCACACCTGTGCCCCGAATGCGCTCAGACGGCTGCCCCCAAGGTCTGCCTTGGGGAGATCCTACTTCCCCAGGAGGCAGAAGCAGGATCGGGAGAGATTCCGAGAGCCAGGCTCGTTCCCCGACTTTTCTGGTTGTGCCAGCCACGCTTGTTCTGTTCTGAGGTACCTCGGAGACATACCCGACGGCCTCAAGCCAACCCCAAAGACCACAGAGCCAGGTATGGGTGCCCCCTGCTCGCAAGAGGAGCAGAGCTGTCTTTCTACCGTCCTCACCCAAGCACTGGGCGGGGCGATTTCAAAAAAGGCATTTTAGGGGCGCCTGGGTGGCTGAGGCCGTTGAGCAGGCTACTCTTGATTTCCGCGCGGGTCGTGATCTCGGGGGCCTAGGATCGGGCCCCCCACTGGGCTCTATGCTCAGAGTCAGCTTGAAGAGTCTTTCTCTCCCTCTCCTTGGCTCCTCCCCCTACTCTCTCTCAAATAAATAAATCTTAAAAGAAGAAGACCACGACGATGACGACGACAGTGGCGGCATTTTAAACCTTGGCAAAATACTAGACTCTGCGACTGTGTTTTTTGGTACGTGGTGAGGAGATGCATTTTTCAGTCCTTTATATAGACGTCTATAATGAGTAGACCAAACCAGAGTTTTCTCAGCAAAATTTCCCTTTTCCCCTTGCTTTCTCCAAAGGCAAACCGAAACCCGCTCCCCTTGAGATGTTTCTGGTTCCCTGTTGGCTGTGGGCAGAGGAAGGAGCCCCGGAGTGAGGTCCCACATGCCACACGACTGAACCGGGGCCGACTCAGGACCCTGGGTCTCCAGCATGTTAGTAACTGGCCCCTCTGCACCTCAGTCTCCTTACATGAAAAATGGGTGGGAAAGCAGGCCACACACCTCGGGGTGCCCCCTGGAGCCCGCTGCTGCTTACACCCTGCCCCTCGCTCCCTGTACTAAGTCGGGTCAGTGCACGCGATGCTGGGGTGGCCCCCGCCGTGAACCCGAGCCAGACCAGCCTTCCTCCACTGGGTTCTCACGCCACAACACGCGCACGCCTGCCCTTCCTAGCATGTCCTTGTGCACGGAAAGGGCAGTGGTGGTTGCTCACTCAACAGTTGGGCACGTCCACTGAACCCCAGGTTGCCACCATGAGGGGGAGCAGAGACCACAGCACCCGGATTTCAAGGTGCTCAGTCGCCTAGGGAGACGACCAGGCAAACCTCACACCCCGGCGAGCGGCAACAGAAGCGTGGCCTGGTGCGAGGGCTGGGAGAGCCGGTGCCTGACTCCCAGGGAGGGCGGGGAGGGCCACAGGGAGGGGCTGGAGGGGACAGGAGTTTGCCACATGGCTGGAGGGGGAGGGCACTGAGTGTGAGCTGAGGACACCCAGAGGAGGTGTGCGGGGGCCCAGGAGTCTCTGGGACAAGCCGATGGAACAGGAGGGCTGTGGCAGGGTCGTGGAAGGCCGTGTCTACACTTTCTCCTGGGGTGATAAAGACACTAGGCGCACATATGGAAACCCCCCCCCCCCATTATCTGCCCGTAAGTGGCCATACATCGCTCCAACTCCAACAGCAGGGCTGGGAAGGTCACCAAGCAGGTTAGGACACCAAGCCTCTGGGGGCTGTGTGGTCAGTCAAGGACATTCGTGCACTGAGATTTCTCGGGGGCCAACAGGGGCTTTGCAGGAGAGAAGCTGGCAGGGGAGTGTGGGAGAGAAGGAGCAGCTGAGAGGCGCCCAAGCTCTGGAAGCAGAAGGGGAAGGGCAGGCCCACACGACTGTCCACGGAGGCGGCCCAAGGCACACCTGGATTTCCAGGCGGGAAAGGGAGGGGACACTGACTAAGCTGGGCAGCTGCGACGGCAGCAGAGGACAGGAGGGGGCAGAGGGGAGAGAAGATGAGCTCAGCTCGGGGCAAGCTGGAGCCCGACAGGAGGGCAGCCGAGTCCCCAGGACGCAGATGGAGATGAAATGGGGCTCAGAGGAGAAAGCAGCCTGCTGGAGAGGAGGGCGTGCCACAGGCGGGAAGGGCCTCACGACCGATCAGGCAGGTGACGCTGACCATTCCCGTTGGCCGGCGCCCGGGAATTACTGCATTTAACTTCCCTTTCAACCCGACTAAGTGCTATCATCATCTCCATTCCAGAGGTGGGACCGGCACGCGGTGGTGGGGCATACAGAGTGCCATGCCCCTTCCCTGTCCACCCACAGACGGTCACGGCTACGGTGTGCACGGCGGCCCGTCTCTGCCCAGGAACCACGTGCTGGCACGTCTGGCTCACCTGCCTTTAGAAGAGGTCCCCGGGTTCCAGGGGGGCTGGAACTGACAAGAGTCGCCAAGGGGAGGGAGCTGATCCGTTAGGATGAGCATCCTTGTAAGGAGAGACACCACGGAGCTCTCTCTCTCCCTCCCCGCGCGCTCTCTCCAAGGAAAGCCCCTGTGAGGACCCGACGCAGGAACCAGCCTGCTGGCACCTTGACCGTGAACAACCAGCGTCCAGAACTGTGGGAGATCCGTGTCTACTACGTCGGCACCCCCAGGCTGGTGTTTTGTTCTGGCACCTCAAGCCGATACAGATTTAAGTATAAATCTGGGATTACTGGGGCGCCTGGGTGGCTCAGTGGGTTAAAGCCCCTGCCTTCGGCTCGGGTCATGATTCCAAGGTCCTGGGATCCAGCCCCGCATCGGGCTCTCTGCTCGGCAAGGAGCCTGCCTCCCCCACTCTCTCTGCCTGCCTCTCTGCCTACTTGTGATTTCTGTCTGTCAAATAAATAAATAAAATCTTTAAAAACAAAAAATCTGGGATTACTATGGGTTTTTGTATTGCCACCCCTGCAGGGGAGAGTGCAGACCGGGGAGGAACAAGGAATGTGTGGATAATGGGGCTGTGGGTCCAGCACACTCAGAGCCAGAGGCAGATCCAGAAGGTGGAGAAGGAGCCCTCCTATGGTGACTGATCCCACTCACGGGAGCCCCCCATCTCCCCCCTTAGCCCCTCGCCCCTGCTGCCTGGCTCCAGGCAGGAGATGCTGGCCAGAAGCTCCTCCTCCTCCCTACTCTGCCACTTCCAAGCCAAGCTGCCTCCCACCGCATACTCTCCCTGCTGCTTTTGTCCTTCAGCATCAGGACAAGGGCCGCCACCTAAAAGCCTGCCAACCGACTGCCCGCCCCACTGTCTTGGATGTTCCCCTGTTCCCTGCCTCTTCCAGCGCTGCCTGACCCTCCCTCCCCCATTCTCTTGGCGCTTTCAGGCTCCCTGAGGGCCGACGGCTGTTTCTGTGTCCCCAGAGCCTGTCACAGTGCCCAGGACAGAGCAAGGGTCCCATATAAGAACCTCTTATAACTCCGGGGACTGAAATAACTCGCAGGACACGGGTCGCTTAGAAGAGATACGCTGTCCACGGAGTTCGTCCCCAGGCATTGTCACAGACGCTAGGGTCTCTGTGGCATTTAGATCAGAGAGAATGAGCTGGCCCTTTCCTCTAGAAGGGCTCCTGTCATTCCTGGCAGACTCTGCTCATCTCCTTGGGGGGACTCCCAAGGCTCCTCAGGCATCACGGCACGTGCAGGACCGCAGGGCTGTCCCCCTGGCCAGGAGCTCTTGGAGAACAAGCCCCTCTGCGCGCTCAGCACCCAGCACAGAAGCTTCCTGAGGCCTCTGTTGAGTGACCTTCCCACCCCAGCTCCTGACCCCGACCCTCACCCTCACCCTCACCACACATCCAAGGGCAGCATGTCCCTGCCCACACCCATCACCTTTGGTGACAACATGGTCTGAGGACCGTTCTCCATCTTAGAAAGCAGCAAGCCATTCCCTTGGGCCTGCCAGTCCTTCCAGCCCTGCGGCCTTCTGTCTGCCTGCCCGGGAAAGGACAGGCCTCCCCTCCCCTCCCCCGGCTGAAGTCAGAGGAGCCTTGGACACCTGGCCCGGGAGGTCAGACCATGACCCAGGCAGGCTCACTCAGAATCAAAACATGCAATAAACTGGCAGCTGTCCTTGAGTAACGAACCTTGTCTGAGAACCACAACAAGGCCTTCCTGGCAGGGAGCAGGACAAGGGACCCGCAAACACACATGGGCCACAGCCCATCTCCCGCTCCACTGAACGGATCTCCAGGTGTTTATGACTTCTGTGCACGATCTAGGGCCCACTCCAAACAGCGGTATGTCTGCCGGGCTTCTGCTACAATCCAAAGCATCCACAGCCTTCCTTCCAGACTCAAAGCTCAGCTGGGGGCAAAGAACAAGCCAAAACAAGAGATGCCTCAGCAAGGCAAGGAGTCTGAAAAGGATGAAGTCCATGGACAGGGGAGAAATGAAGTCCACGGACAGGGGAGAAAACTAGGACCAGGAGAGGTGACACGCCAAGGTCCAGGACCAGGTCTGACCTCTCTTAAGGAAGCTGCCGCCACTGGCTGTCCCCATGACATGGCCCTGGGGGAGATGGATTAAATCCCACCTACGGAAGCCAACCTGGAGCCCTCCAGTTCATTCTGCCCATTGCTAGCTCACTAGTTCCATGGGTGCTCTGCAGAAGAAAAAGGAAAAGATTTCCCAAGCCCAATCCTACCAGGGAAGCCCTAGCCAAAGTCAGTCTGACCAGGTCTCTGGACTGCAGTACTTTTCAGAGCCTTTATTGTGCTAACACGCATTGTGAATGTCAGGAGTCAGCGGCCGCAGCCCTTGACCTCTGTGTGCACAAAGCTGGTTATAGAACAAGCCTTCGAAGCTCTAGTCTCGCCAAAGTCATGGGGACCCGATTCACAGGGGGCCTGGAGGTAATGAAGCATATTACATAGATAAATACAGCTGAAACTCCTCCTCCCGAGAGGAAGCCGGGCTTCAGAACAGCAGCCACCTGCCCTGGGGATGGAGACTGCGGGATGATAACGTTTAGCTTTAAGTAATGGGAAGTTTGAGTAAAAGCAAGCATCCTGTCCGCTACTTTAACATGAGCTCGAACCCTCGTGCCTTAAAGTCCAAGTTTCTACACGGCAAAGTAGCTCTCTACCTTAAGCCAACCCTTCCGTCTAGGGCCCTTACAAGTTACCTGCTGGGAAGGAAGATCAGTTGATCAATTTAACAAAATAATTTTTTACTAGCACCAGCAAGAAATGTCAGTGCCACCAACAGATTGCTTTTGGAAAGGTATTTTGGTTAAGTTCCGATCTGTAAAGACCCGTGTTCCTCCTGAAAGGATTTGCTGGGCTTAACTGTTTGTCCTAGAAGGATCTGCGGGCCTAAATTCCACCAGTTTGAGCAGGATGGAGAAAACCTAAAGCAAACAGTTCCTCTGAGCCAGCAACGGCCCGTTGAGGCCCAGGGATGCCCCCTCCTCCCCAAGGCTCCTGAGAGAAGAGCCCTGTGTGAGTGGACCCCAGCAAGGCCACATGAGGCTAAGCCTGACACGTAAGCCGCCAGGGTCCACAAGAGCCAGACTCCCAGTGCAGGCAGGAGAGTGGGCACTGAGGACAAACATCAAAGAGCAAGGAGCAGACCACCGCCGAAAGACACAGAAAGTCCACCTTGAACTCCAGAACCATAGGATCACCCCACTCCCAGAGGCATGCAGTGCTGGGGGCGGGGAGGTGGGAAGGGAAGCAGGGCAGACATGAGAAAGAGGGAAAAGGAATAAAACAGGTGATAGGTCATACGGCTATGGTGACCCAGTCCCAGGCTGATACTCGAGAAATCCACCAGGACCCAATCACCACACCCCAATGACCAGAATGAGAGTCCCCCTTCCCAGGGACACGCAGGCATCACGCCAAGCACACTCACGGCAAACAACGTACAACCTACTCTTTAAATATTTCATTTTTTCCTTCAAACCTGCAATGTAATAAGGAAGAGTTATTCCATCGCACAAACCCACAAAGCCAAGTTCAGATCTGGGAGCATGAGCAATTCCCTTTTTCCATTTAAACAAGCAAATAAAAAAAAAAACCTTCTGTGGTTCCCAAGAGGGAAAAACTATGAACTGACACGTAACGAGTGATAGAAATGTCAGATACAGAATTTACACTCTCATTTTTGGTCTCGTGTACATGCGGACGGTCACACGTTCCGCGACTTCTGCGGGGTTCAAACACCTGATTTGAAGTTTCCCAAGTCTCTAAGTTTGCGCCTTGCACATTTCCAGCACACTCAGATCATATGTCCACAGTTAAGGGGCCTGAATGTCTCTGGAATCTGGGGTCTCCCCTGCCGCCCAGGAGAGACAGAAATTCTAAATGCGAACACACAACACAGAGAGCATTTTTGGTCTCTCTGGATTTACTGGGCACAACTCAAGACGTAAGTCTGAGGCTTTCCTCAGCCCCTGAAGGCATTTTCCATCTTCTTCTGGGAGAGAGAGAGGAATGAATTGGGCTGGGTGGGGTGGGGATGGGGGTGGGGAACGGGTGGAATTTTCCAAGCAGGACAGAGCAGGAGCTCATAGGGAAGGCGGGCATATCAGACAACCCTGAGACCCCACTGACCCCATTCTCCCTGCAGGTTTCTACAGGGTAAAAACGTCAGATGCTCTAGAAATGCCACAGCAGGACCCTCCACAGGCCAAGGGGCAGGTCTTCAAATCAGAGGTCCTGCTGAGCTCAAACTGGGCGGTATAGCTCTCCCCAGTGTGCCCATCCAGACGCTCCACGGGGCCTGTGCCTGCAGCCTTGGCCAGGTGAGCAATGGGCTAGAACCGGCTGAGAGAGGCCTGGGTAAGAACACACCAGTGACCTACCTCCGTTGGCTAGGAGGTTCTCCGGAACCTTCCCCTTGGCATCTTCCATGACTTCTACCACACTCTGGGCCATCTTCTTTATGAGGCTTTGGGAAAAGAACACAAGGCAGTCAGACTGGGAATGTGCCCTCCAAATCGTCTGTGACATTTCATCGGGGGTGGGGATGGGGAGAGATGGGCACTGCCCTTTGGGGACTCTGGCAATGTGGAGGCACAGACTTCAAATGTGCAGACCCTTCGAACCAGTATTTCCACTTCTGGGAAACCGTCTTAAGGAAATAGGGTGAACACGAAAACCTCTCTGTATCAAAAGATGTTGTTCGTAGCACTCTTGCTGAGAGCAACGCACTGGAAACCATGGGAAGGTTCAACAATGGGGGATTGTTGGAAGCAAATGGGATATCCGACGAGGGACTGCTGCACACGCCCCTGGAAGGAAGGTCTACAAAGAATTCCTGATACTGTGGAACAAGGCACGTATTATCATGTTCCGTGGAAAAAACCCAAGATACAGCTTTACAGAGACAGCATGGCTGTAACTACGGGGAAATGTTCTTCCCACTTTATGTTTTTTTTATTATAATCCATAATGATGGGGCGCCTGGGTAGCTCAGTGGGTTAAGCCTCTGCCTTCGACTCAGGTCATGATCTCAGGGTCCTGGGATCGAGCCCCACATCGGGCTCTCTGCTCGGCGGGGAGCCTACTTCCTCCTCTCTCTCTGCCTGCCTCTCTGCCTACTTGTGCTCTCTCTCTGTCAAATAAGTAAATAAAATCTTTAAAAAAAATCCATAATGATGATTCAGTATTGAATTAATATGGAATATAATAATTCAGTATTGCTTTTATTATCAGAAAATCAAACATTTAAGTCTCCAGAAAGGATCCTGAGGGCTTCAGAAAGTATGAGAAAGGACGGTGAGCTAACGAGCATACAGAGCCGTCAAATCACGATATTGTACACCTGAGACTGATGTGACATTGGAAGATCCAAAAAAGAATAAAACAAATAAACCAGAGGTCTCCCCCACCCAAAAAAAAACACGAAGTATGAGAAAAGAATGGGAAGGGCAGGATTTCAAGGTAGAAGGACTCAAATTCACATGGCTCCGCCAGTTACCAAATGTATCACTTTTGTTTATTTTGCTTTTAATTTTTTTTATAAAAATAAATTTATTTAAATTAGACATAAATTAGACTTGTTACATAGATAATAGTTTTTCAATGTCTTCTTTTTTTAAAATTTTTATTTATTTACTTATTATTTATTTATTTATTTATTTTAATAAACATATAATATATTTTTATCCCCAGGGGTACAGGTCTGTGAATCGCCAGGTTTACACACTTCACAGCACTCACCATAGCACATACCCTCCCCAATGTCCATAACCCCCCCCCCCTTCTCCCAACCCCCTCCCCCCAGCAACCCTCAGTTTGTTTTGTGAGATTTAGAGTCACTTATGGTTTGTCTCCCTCCCAATCCCATCTTGTTTCATTTATTCTTCTCCTACCCCCTTAACCCCCCATGTTGCATCTCCACTTCCTCATATCAGGGAGATCATATGATTGTTGTCTTTTTCCGATTGACTTATTTCGCTAAGCATGATACCCTCTAGTTCCATCCATTGCTTTTAATTTTTAAGTGGGCTCCACACCCAACCCGGGGCTTGAACTCACCACCCTAAGATCAAGAGTGGCAAGTTCTACCAACAGAGCCAACCAGGCACCCTTGCAGCATTTTTTTTTTCTTTTCTTTTCTTATTCTTTTTTAAGATTTTATTTATTTATTTATTTATTTATTTATTTGTCAGAAAGAGAGAGAGAGGAAAAGAGCACAGCGGGGGCAGGGGCAGAGGGAGGAGGAGAAGCAGGGAGCCTCATGCAGGACTCGATCCCAGGACCCTGGAGTCCTAACCTGAACCAAAGGCAGATGCTTAACCAAATGAGGCACCCAGGTGTCCCGCCTTTTTTTTTCTTTTTTTTAAAGTAATCTCACACCCAAGGTGGGGCTCATACTGATAACCCCGAGATCAAGAGTCATACTCTTTTCCCACTGAGCCAGCTAGGTGCCCCCAAATGTATGATTTCAGTCAAATCCATTAAACTTCTTTGTGCCTCAGTTCTTTTATCTGTAAGGTACAGATTATATCCGTTCCACAGGATTATTATAAATATTAATATAACTGATCAGGGCACCTGGGTGGCTCAGTCAGTTAAGCATCTGCCTTCAGCTCAGGTCATGATCCCAGGGTCCTGGGATCAAGCCCCGTATCGGGCTCCTTGTTCAGTGGGAAGCCTGCCTCTCCCTCTCCCCCTGCTTATGTTCCTTCCCTCACTGTGTCTCTCTCTGTCAAATAAATAAATAAAATAATTTTAAAAATATATATGTAACTGATCAGACTCCAAGGGTCTAGCAGCAGACTGTCTGCTCCTGGAGGGTGAGCACTGAGAAGTCCGGCTGGAAAACATGTCAAACCAGGACCAAAGTCGGAAAGCTCTCAAGATCCAAATCTTTGCCTTAGGCCCTCTCTCGACCTAACCCTGGCCCCCAGGAAGGAGGCAGTATTTGCAGGAAGCCTGGATCAGGTCACCAAATTCCAGATGGGAACATGGTCTTCTGCTGTTGTAGGGACCAGCCATACTGGCCACTCAGAGCATGAGGCCAGAGGGCTGGAGACCAACACAGGAAACTGAGGCAGAAGGGTACTGAAAGGTCCCAGATTAAAGAAAGAGAGGGAGAATAGGACGGAGGAAGGCAGGAAAGGGGACGGAGGAAAGGCAGAGAATGATGAGCAGAGGAAGAAAGGGGGAGGGAGGGAGAGAGGGAAGAACCTGTTTTCCCATCAGAGTAACATGCATTCATGATCAAAATTTTAAAAATACCCAAAAATGAAAACCATACTCCTCTGCCCAAAGGAACACGCACTTTGCATTCTGAAATATTTCCAAAGCCTTAACACGTCCATAGCTTATGTGAGTTTTCTTTTGGTAACACCTACCACTCTAGCGGAGTCTACCAGGTACAACATCTGTAAACATTACCCCACGGAACCCTCACAGACAACTTGAAAGCGAGTATTAGCCCATTTGACAGATGAGGCCCAGAGAAGGAACTGGACCCCATCCACCCGGTCCATCTGAGGACTCCGAGGCCACGCTGCTGTCTACAGTCGCTGAGACCCAGCCTGGACTTAAATCTCGACAAATGTGTTGTCATTTCTTGGAACAGCAGCTCTGCATCACACTAATTATAATGAGTTATAATTATCCTAATTAGTGACCCAAATGATCTCATTCTATTTCTTCCACTATCAAACGGGGACGGTCCTGCTCGTCTCCCGGGGTTCTCGGTGGAGTCTGATGCCATGCCCCAGCGGTTCCAGGCACGGAGTTCCAGGCACGCCTCTGATGTGCTCCAGGCAGTCTGGTGGACCGCTTCCAGCGCTTGCCTCGCTCACGGGGAGACTCGACAGGAGACCGGGGAGGGTGGGGGACCCTAAGTCTGGTTCCCTCTCAGTTCCGAGAAGCTTTCTCCACTCTTCCCCTCCAACGTGCGGGTGTGACGACGCTTCTGCACCTGCCTGGGTTTGCACACCATCCCTACTGTGGGTCACCTACAGCCCACACGCAACTGTCCGTCCCTTTATAAACAGATTGTCCTCGTCTGAATGTGTCTTCTGTTAGCTGTTAAGACCCTGACTCACTAACTTTATTTATTCGTTTGCTCATTCATTCACCAAAATTCTGTATGTTAAGCAACTGGGTGCCCAGCACGGTTCACAGTGTTGTGAACTAAACAAAGTCCCGGCTCTCGGGAAGCTTCTATTCCGACACCGTCGTCAACTCCTCTTTATCCCTGGTCCGGTGGTGCACCTCCATCTCCTCTGTGCTGCTTGCTCTGAGAAAATTACCTGTTTACCTGGAAGTAGTAGTGGCTCTCACCCCCACCCCAGTGCCTGATGCCCAGCTCAGGAAATGTTTGTTGCGTGAATACATGAATCCCGGCACTCCCCAGCACCTAAATGCCACCCATGCTTGCTTCCTTGTCAACTGCAAAGCAGAACGCACTCATCATCTTGTGAACGACTCTCTGCTGCTCCTGATTCCAGCCCGTATGGATTTTTTAGCCACAACAAGATGGCCTCAGGCATGTCCACCACCGCGGAACAGCACAGAATAACACGGTCTGATGAAGTTTAACCACTGGAAAGCTCACTTACTTCACATAACAAAAGGGGCCCCGATGTAGCTGTGATGACCAACGACAGTCATCGGCCAAATGTGGTCTTACTGAGTCAGGATATTCTCCTCACCAGAAGGAACCTCAGGGACCACGTGACTCCACAGTTCACCGGGAACACACTTCCGTGAACGGAGCTTCCTGGTTCCTGGGCTCTGTTGCCCTACTCGTGGACACGTGGATTGTTTCCCCCATGATGGGATGTTGCAACGGCGCACATGTTTGGCCCACTTGCGCAGGCAGGGTCAGCTGTTAAAGGATAACCAGTGGAATAAAGGGAACGAACACTGATGACTTTTAACAAACAGGCTAAGCAACTCTCCAAACACACAGAGCCAGCGTACAGCCCCACCGGCGCTGGGCAAGAGGGCCTGCTTCCCGAAACCGTCGCCAGCATCAGGTGCCACGAATGTTTCATCTCTGCCGATCTGATAGCTGAAAAACGCCATCGCGCTGCTGCTCTGATCTGCATCTCTTTGATCCTCACGAAGGCTGGACATCTTTTCACAGGCTCATTGACTCCATAAATGGTCTGTTTTCTTCTTCTGCAAATAGCATGCTCATGCCCTCCCCTGCTGCTTTTTCTGCTGGTATTGTTCCTTTTTAAAAAAAAAAAATTATTGACTTGTAAGGGCTTCTAAGGATCTCAGGAACACAACTCTTGAGATGGTGCTTTGAGCTGGGTAATATCCCCATTTGAAAGGTGAACACATGAAGAGTTACGTTGCTGAAAGTCACCCCATGCAGGGGGACAAGCGTCAAAGCAGAGACTGATCCAAATCTACACGACTCCAAAGTCCACGCTCCTCAATGCTGGTTTAAATGACACGCGGCCCCTTCCTCTG